TAATGGGAGGGGTATTGGAGGTTGCAAGGTGTCAACTCCCCTCTAGTTTTGCAAAGGGGTCCTTGGGAAAGGTGGTTGAAAGGGGGGGCAAAAAAGGAGACGCTGGGTTTGGGGAACAAAGTGTTGGTGGTGCAGGGAGAGGGGAGGTTGGCCGACCCCACTCAGCATCCCTGTGATGCATTTTGCAGTTATCATTCATAACAGTTTGATATATTGCTCAAAAACTGTACATGCCCTTAAAAGTAGCCCAAAATGGCCAAAAAAACAACAACCCTGCAACACGCAAAGGCCAAAAATTTCCCACAGCTCATCTCCGGAACTCAAGTTTGGCCCAGAATTTGAGTATTTGTGCAGCAAAAAACAAGCAAAGTTACACATTAAAGAGGTAAGTTTCATTCTTTATTTTTACTATAAGAACACTGTTAATGCATATATTCAGGCTACACATGAAATGAATATAATAACGTCTGGCCTAGATTTGAGCCTGAATGTGTGGGGGTTCCCCGAGGCCTGAAAAATATTTCAAAGGTTGCTTCAGGGTCAAAAGGTTGAGAAAGGCTGCCCTAGCAACTTCACATTTAGATTATTGTAATGAAATGTGGGGTAACCCTTGGACAGTTCAATTAGTGCAAAATAGTGCAGCATTTTGTTTCTGGTCTCTATTCAGGGTACTCATTCTAAGGCCAACTTAGAAGTGGCAAGCAGCTACCCAGCCTGGGCCTTTTCAGTGGTATCCCAATTTTAGAATGCCCTCAGTGAAGTATGCTTGGTATTTGTCTTTGCTGTTAGTGCTGTTGTGGTCTTTAATTTAATTGTTTTGTTTGACTGTCTGTAATTATCTTAATTGTATATTGTGTATTTTTGTACTGTGTTTTATAAAATATCTTAATGTATGTTTAAATTGTTTGAATGCATTGTTTTAAAAACAATTTTAACTGTAATCCACTTAGAGATTTATTTTAACAGGAAGGAGTACAGAAATGCTTTCAATAAGATAGATAGCAAGTAAGCAAATTTGGAACAGCCATTTCCATAAATATAGTTTCTGTTCTGTACTAAGCTCATATTTAAAAAACTCTCATGTTCAATGTTTAAGTATTTGTTTCAATGAAAGATGCAATTGCACTGTTGTTTGAAGCCATCACATGAAACAAAGCATATTCAGTGATGATTACCTTGCCAGCGGGACAGAGTATCAATTGGTGATGTTAATTTGGTCTCTGGCTTCCTATTTTACAAATCCAAAGACCACATAACACAAAATATCCAGCAATTCCTCTGCTAAAATGCAAGAGCTTTTAATTGTTTTGAAGAAAACCCCCCTTATTTGAAGACAAATGTTTTAGTGGAAAATACTTTACATAACTTTAGCCTCCATACTACTGTACTCAAATTACCCAGACATATTGAAATCACTGAACTAGTTACAAGTCTTACTCCCCAAAATTATTCTTTCTAAAAACACATCAATTTCTCTCGTTTTTGATACAATACCATGTTTCTTTGGAAGATCCACGGTGAATTTGTGCAGCACCTCTCTGGTGTTTCCTTGAAGTGTTCCAAAAAGTGCACCACTACCATCTATTACAATAAAGCCAAATTTGCTGTCATCTGACAATAGTGCTGTTAGAGCCTAAAAGTCAACACAACAGAAATTGAGAAATTTTGAACAAATTGATATATAACAAATCAGGCAAGAGGGATATTCTCCTGAAGGAATGTGCTCATCTTTTTTATACTTCCATAATTACCCCAAACTCATTAAACTAACAAATTAATTAGGTTCATTCAAGCATTTTAAACTATCGTCACTGTACTCTTTAATGGATCATTTGCTGCCAAGTCTATAGCACCCAGTAAGCTTGCTAGAATGGATTGTGCAAAGTCAGGTAAAAGGAAATCACCAAAAGCCAGTCTGGTTAAGAAAAAATGGACACACTCTTTAAAAAAAATACAAGTGATATTCAAATATAATCCATACATCATTTTGTGAATAAGAAAAGCGAAACTCCAAGAAGGAAGAAGCTCAAATGAATTTCTGCCTGATATTACAGCTACTCACCAAAGTAAAAGTGCCAATGTTAGTAGGAGAATGCCAAAATGGGGCACATAAAGCAACGCTCTCAAGCAAACTTGTATCTTGTGTAGTTCTTGGCTCAAATTCACCAAGATAAAACCTGTCAGTGATCTGTACCAGGCTAATAAGAGATTTCACCCAAGTTTATTAATAGGCATTTAGTATACAAAATGAAGGAATTGCAAAGATGCATAATCTTAGCACTGGAAGGCTAAGATTAACAAATCACAATTTGACTTCTAAATGCTGGGACAGTCCATTTAGATAACTTGGGTGATATCCGATTATGTAATGCTTTGCAAAAAAAAATGCAATGCAACTCAGCTCTCAGGTTATGTTTATATTCACATGCTCTAATTTTTCTTTTGTGCCCCATCTCCTTGAAAAAGACAATTGTGAACAAATTCTCATCTGGAAGTTGTGGAAATGATGTGCAGGAAAATGGTCGCATCCTCACACATAAACCAAGTGAAACCATTCAGTGCCACATGACTAGACTTCCCAATGCTCAGTAGCTTTCCTTGCTATTAAATAACCATTAGATAGTATAGCACAGTTGCAATTTAGAGAAAAATAAAAAATGTAACTTACCTCTGTATGGAATTTATTATCACACAAATACAATGATGTATTTATTGGTTTGAAAGGTTCAAAATCAATGTTCACTTTCTTCTCCTTTCCTTCTTCTGTCACAATTGTTCCACAGTAAACAACCAGACCATTTGGAGGTACTGTAAATATATATATATATATATATATATACATGTATGTATATATAATCTTAAGTACTGCTGAAGCTTGAATCAAATTATTTATAATGGAACTAGGAGGATATTTTACCTTTGTTATATAGTTTTAGCCGTTGCTGTACAGATGTAATGGCGCCAAGGACCGAAAGGCGATTCACTCGAGATTTAATATTTGATGCTGTGCCAAACTCATCGGCTAACATTTTTGCCACTCGGGAAATCTGGTCTTTGGGGGGAATGATCAAGGATATCATGCTGGTGCCATTGCTAAAAGAAACAAAAATAAAGGTTCAAACAAGGAATGTAACATTTAAGGGATAAGACTTTCTATACTAAATGTGGAAGAGAGATGGGCAGCCATATAAATTACCTAAATAAATAAATGGTGGATAGGGCAATAGTTATACAGCATTACACATAATAAAACATGCTATATAGGCTGTAAGTCAGCATATATACATCTATGTTGATGCAAATGCTCAAAATGAAATTGCATGTATTGAAAAAGCTTACAAGTTCCTGTCAAAGCTCATCAGTACATGTTAAAAAAAAAAAATCCTTTTGGTTCCAGTAAGTATGTAAACTTGATCTATGTTAACCAGAAACTATTAACAAATAATTCTTCAGCACAAGGGTCAAGAAATTTCGATGTCCGTTATTACTTCTATCCCTCTGCATGATGCTATGTTGGGCTAGGAGGTAGATAGAAGGATTTCTGGGGAAACAAAAAGCATGTTGCTATATACTTTCCAGCTGGAATTACAGCAAGTGACTTGAAATATGAAAGCAGCAATTATTTTTCCCAAATATAATCCTTTGTTCTATACAAATCCTTTTTAATTTCTATACAAATTTGTAAAATGACATTTTCATATATTACCTTGAAACTCAATTAGGAAAATTATCTTATGAAGGTAGCTCTCATATACCAGCACAGAGAAAGCTCATGCAGAGACAGAATACAATACTGCAAAGGTACAATGGTCTATGCCCATAATGAAATTGGTAAGAGTCTGCAATGGGGACTCTCTTTCATTCTGGCATATTTGATATAGTTAAAGGAAGAGCGTCTGCACATTCTCTAAAACTTGCTCTTAAGTACTGTGGAAGCATCCCTCTCCCATTCCATTTTTAATATTCTATTTAATAAATGCCCAGTCCTCCCATCTTACCTGAATCATACTGATACGGCAATTAACACACAAGAAACATTACACAAATGACTCATCTTCATACTGGAATTTTTAGTGACAGCTGAGGACAAACCTTCTGAAATGCAACCCTTAATGCATTATATCCCTTTCTAGTATTTTCCCTCAATCATAAGGGGCATATAGCTATTCTCTGCATTCCTACTATTTTAGGTGCTGTGACCATCATCAGCAAGTCATTTAATCTCTCACCAACAGTATGCATTTTTTTTTAATACTTAACATTCCCTGTCCCAGTGTTTAGCATTTAGCTGCCAGGAGATCAAACATGAGCTATATGCCTCTTTACCTAGTCATAATTCTCTCTACAGAAAACAGTGAAAGTAAATTAGCGTTGCAAAAATATGCCTTGGTGGAAATTCATTAGCAGTTCCCCCTCTAATCCTATCTTCTCAAAATGCTCATAGAATCCTTCCACAACCAATGAAAAATTTTGTCATATTGACCTTGCCAATGTCATCTCACAGCACTCAGCCACCTACAGCTAGTAATATTGGTCCGTAAGCAATAGATTCCACCTTCTGCAACTGGGTAAAACACCACGATGTTTTCAAAGCAAAATGTGGCGCTACTGGACCAGCATTTCCTATTTCCCAAAACCTTAATAAAGAGACTTTTGTTGGATGCTCTAATCTACGTAGGTATTTGAAACATGTCAACTTTACAACACATATAGTTCTGAGGTAGTGGCAACAAATTAAATTGTATCCAAGAAAATCATATGGATACAAGGAGGTGTTTTTTCACAACAGCACTGTCTGTACATTCACTTCAAAAACTAATTTTTGTACATTGATTTCTGACAAGTACAGAACAAACTGCAAAACTGGCAATGCACTACTACTGCGGACCACAGGAAGAGCTATATGGATAGCTAAAAACAGGTTTGAATGATTTGACTTTAAACCTGATGGAGTTTGCTTAAAATGAAGTCTTCTTCAAGTTAAGTTCAACTACCAGTGACAAAAAAGATATAAGCATGCAGTTTTCTTGGCCACAGTACCGAAATGGTTTCTGGGATTGTTTGTTCAAATTCCCAGTCTAGGTCCCTGCTCTAGAATTCCCGGTGAGTCTCCCATTCCAGAACTAACCAGGCTGATTCTGCTTAGCTTCAATGTCCAGACAAGGACAGCCAGGTGCTACTGATAGTTTACGCCTTCAAAAATCTCAGCTCTTCTTGTACAGTTCAGTGGAGAGAATCTTTTATCTACTCCTATTTCCATTCAGGTGCAAATTGCCTTTCCAAGACCATCTCACACTTCACAGATCAGTCCATTTCAACATTACTAGAACAATACTAATAATAATTAAACTGCTCAGTTCCTTAAATAAGATAATAATACAGCTATATTTGGACTAAAAGAACAAAGCTGTGTGAATCACCCAAGATTGAGTGTGACAGAAGTGTCTGCAACATGCACAAAAGTCAATCAAATTCACTGAATCTTCAAATCAAAGTTTCACACAGCTCCTTTGAAGAACATACTCCTGCCACCTACTGGATAAGTGAGTAAGCCCTATAGTTAGGAGAAACTGCAATGAAGAACACCAAGATCTGCTCCACCTTAATCAAGATTCAGATTAACTTTCAGCATTCAGTAGTTTCACTTCACAAGAAAACTGATCTCCAAAACTTTCAATTATTCGGAAGATTTTGACTCAATGGGCTTCAGTAATTAAACTGCACTGAGGAACAGAGCTCAGAGTATTGTATCTGTGTATGGTGAAGGTAAAATAGCTAAAGAAATGTGAAATTTCAACAGCTTCTAACGGTAAAATAGCTGCATATTTTGAGGCAAAAATCTGAGATGCTGTGGATTACTATGAACGCTTTGGGTTGGACTTATACTACGAACACAATTTTCCACAGTCCCTTGAGCAACACAGCAGCTAGAAATGTGAATTAAGACAAAACTATCTGGAACATTTTATTATCAATCAGTAGCTAAGCCACACTTTGAAGTACAAAATATAAATTATGTGCAAGCTACTACTCTTCTAAACAAGCAATTACTCACAAGCAGCTAAAAGCTTCATAAAATAGTAAATTTGAATCTATTTGAATCCATACTCTTTCACAGAAGCATACTAATGTTTTAATAAATAATCTATTCAGTTCCTACAAGAAGGTCAGTCACTAGGCCAATATAGCTGTTCTCTCACTTCATACAAGCTATGCTATTAATTATCAATCAACAATTAGTAGGCAAAGAGAAAGCCTCTAGAGTACAGGACTGTTCTCATTTACTATAGTTACTAGTCTACAATAGCGTCTCCCCAGTTATAGAAACCTGCTCTTGGGTTTTTGCAGTTCACTTTGAGTAAAGCATGAGATTAAGTTAGGGTTTCCTAAGTGGTGAATTTAGCCTCATGTATTCTTTGCAGCCACTCTGTTCTCTGAAATTTAATTTGGGAGTAGTTAGGATGTTTTGCAATAACTGACCCTTTTATAATTAGATTCTTTTTACTTTGGTACTGATTGATTAGATTGTAAACCAGCAAGCAGATGCCTCCTTACCTTTATTTATACACACACACAAACACACACAGAGTACAGTGCTTGGAAAGTTACACACTTTATAACTACTCAGAATATTATAATGTTAATTGATTATACATTACTGAGACAACTCCTGGCATTGGCTGCCTTAAAAGTACAACAAATAAATAATTCAGACAGGGAGCAAGTTATCAGAACTAGCTACTGAACAGAGAATATATCAACGCTGTCTCATAATCTTGCTCTAATGCAAGAGCAGCAATTCTCAAACATTTTGGTCTAAGGACCCCTTTACATTCTTAAAAATGATTGAGGACACCAAAGAGCTTTGGTTTATGTGGGTTACATCTATTGATAATTACTATATTATAAATTAAAACAGAGAAATTTTTAAAATTTTTATTTCACTTTGCGGACCCCCTGCAAGGGTCTTGAGGACCTCTAGACCCCACTTTGAGAATCACTGCTTTATAACAAAAATGCTTTAAAAATTCTAAGCTTCAGCAAAAATTTTGAAATGAAAGGTATATATTAATACTTTACTAACAGTACATTTATTTGAAGCAAATTCATGTATCTCAAGCTAAACTGTGACACAGGTATAGTTTACTATGAATTGTTGTTCTACATGCAACTAGACTATGTAAAATAAAATATGAGCTTTAAAATACATCACGTTCTGAACTCAGGATAGCACACCGAAATTCGCTAATGTGGCACCCTGTGGTCAACACTTGTCCAATATTTGTCTCTATTTTAGAAGAGTTCCAGTGCTGAAATATCTTCCAAAGGTGGCTCTCCTTGGGCTGAGTTGATGGGTGTCATACTGGGTCCTGGTGCTGGGCCTATATCCCATTTCAGGCAGCTATGAAACCACATTACTTCTTTTAGGATAACATCCCAGGATGGGAGGCCAGCATGCTCAGCCTACTTGAAGTCAGCACACAGGCTTAGCTCCAGGACCAGCATGATGCCAGCCAGGAAAAGCCATCCTAGAGGAAAGGTAAAACTAGGCAAAAGCAGCTTAATCATTAAGGAGAGCTGTTGCAGAAGTCATTCCAGTGGGTGTAATGACAGCCACAGCCCTAGGAATACGTTCTGACAGCAAGCCACATCTGTACATACACAGCTGGATCATTGCTAGAGATCACAGCCTGCTCTGCCTCAGCAGATTCTGATAGTTTGTGCTTTACACCTAGTTCCTCCTAAAGCATACTGCACTGATTGCACAAATTACCAAGTTATTATTACATCTGCTAAATCCTGCTCCTTCAAACATACATTAAGTTGATGTGCCAGTCTAAGTTGGCAAAATAAACTATAACAATGTACAGAACCAAAATATCCTATTATATTTATACTACCCCACCTGAAACAACATTCCAATGTGATGCATTTTACTAATTTCAAAATCAAGCACTTATATTGTTGGGTCTCGCACCAGAGATTAAATTATTTCCAGAGCTTCTTCCTCAAACTGAGTGAAATTCATTTGAATTGTTTAATGAAACATATATGAGGGTAGAATTGATCATACATTTAAATAAAAACAGTAG